TTCTCTGTCGCTCTCCTCTCTCACGCTCTCCTCTCCTCTCTCTGTCGCTCTCCTATCTCTGTCGCTCTTGTCTCTCTCGCTCTCTTCTCCGCTCTCATTTCTCTCTCTTCCTTTCTCTCTCTCTATTCTCTCTCTAGCTCTCTCTCGCTATTCTTCTACTCTCTGGCTCTCTCTCCTCTCCTCGCTCTCCTCTCTCTCGTCTCTCTGTCGCTCCCCCTCTCTCTGTCGCCTCTCCTCTCTTCTCTGTCGCTCTCCTTCTCACGCTCTCCTCTCCTCTCTCTGTCGCTCTCCTATCTTTGTCACTCTTGTCTCTCTCGCTCTCCTCTCTCTCGCTCTTCTTTCTCTCTCGCTCTCCTCTCTCACTCTCCTCTCTCTCTCGCTCTCTTCTCTCTCCTCTCTCTCGCCCTCTTCTCTCTCTCTCTCGCGCTCTCCTCTCTTCTCTCTCTCGCGCTCTCCTCTCTTATCTTCCGCGGCTCTCCTCTCTCTCTGTCGCTCTCCTCTCTCTCTGTCGCTCTCCTCTCTCTCTGTTGATCTCTCTCTCTGTCGCTCTCCTCTCTCTGTCGCTCTCTTCTCTCTCGCTCTGTCTCCTCTCTCGCTCTGTCGCTCTCCTCTCTTCTCTCTCGCGCGCTCTCCTCTCTTCTCTGTCGCTCTCCTCTCTCTCTCTGTCGCTCTCCTCTCTCTCTCTGTCGCTCTCCTCTCTCTCTCTCTGTCGCTCTCCTCTCTCACTCTCTCTCTCACATCTATCTTCAGATTCCTCTCGTTCTCCTCTCGCTCTCTATCATCTCTCGCTCTCCTCTACTCTCGCTCCTCTCTCTCGCTTCTCCTTATCTTGCTCCCCCTCTATCTTATCAGCTTTCTCCCCTCTTCTCTCCTCTCCTCTTCTCTCTCTCGCCTCTCTGTCGCTCTCCTCTCTCTCGCTCTGTCTCCTCTCTCTCGCTCTGTCGCTCTCCTCTCGCTCTCCTCTCGCTCTCCTCTCTCTCGCTCTCTCTGTCACTCTCCTCTCTCTCGCTCTGTCTCCTCTCTCTCGCTCTCTCACTCTCTCTCTCGCTCTCCTCTCGTTCTCCTCTTGCTCTCTATCGCTCTCCGCTCTCCGCTATCCTCTCTCTTTCGCTCATCCTCTCTCTCGACTCTACTATATCTCTCGCGCTACTCTCTCTCTTCTATCTATTCCTTTCTCTCTCGATCTCCTTTCTCTCTCGCTCTCCTCTCTCTCGCTCTCTCTGTCGCTCTCCTCTCTCACGCTCTCCTCTCCTCTCTCTGTCGCTTTCCTATCTCTGTCGCTCTCTTCTCTCGCTCTCTTCTCTCTCTCTCCTTTCTCTCTCACTCCTTCTTCTCCGCTCTATTCTCGCTCTCTTTCTATCTCTCTACGTCTCTCTCTCGCTCTCGCTCTTCCTCTCTCTCGCTCTTACTCTCGCTCTGTCGATCTCTCTCTTTCGCTGTCGCTCTCTCTCCTCACGTCTCTCTCCTCTCTCTGTCGCTCTCCTATCTCTGTCGCTCTTGTCTCTCTCGACACCTTCTCCTCGCTCGTCTCTCTCTCGATCTCCTCTCTCGCTCTCTCGATCACTCTCCTTCTCTCTCCTCTCTCTCATCATCCTTCTCTCTCTCCTCTCCGCTCTCCTCTCGCTCTCCTCCGCTCTTCTCTCTCTGCCCCTCTCTCTCGTCGCCCCCTCCTTGTCCTTTTCTCTCTCGCTGTCGCTCTCCTCGTTCTCCCTTGCTTCCCCTTTTTCGCGTCTCTCGCCCCCTCTCGCTCTCCCTTCTTGCGTTCCTCTCTCCGCTCTCCTCTTTTTCGTGCTCTCCTCCCTCGCTCTCCTCTCCTCTTCTCTGTCGCCCCAACTGCTCTCCCCTTTGCCTTTCTTCTGTCGCTTTCTTCTCTCGCTCTCCCCTCTCTTGTCGCCTTTCCTACTCTCGCCTCTTCCTCCTCCTTTTGCTCTCCTACTTGTCGCTTTGTCTCTCTCGCTTCTTTCTCTCTTCCTTTTTCTCTCGCTCTCCTTTTCTCTCCTCCTTTTCTCTCTCGTCTTTCTCGTCTTTTCTCTCTCTCTTTCTCTCTCTCTTCTCTTTCTCGTCTCCTCTCTCTCGCTCCCTTCTCTCGCTCCTCTGCGCTCTCCTCTCTCTCTCTGTCGCTTTCCTTCTCTTTTTTGCTCTCCTCTTTTCCTCTCTTCTTCTCTCTCTCCACTCCTCTCTCTCTCCGTCTCCTCTTGCTTTCCTCCTCGCCCCTCTCTCTCGGCGTTCCTCTCTCTCTGTCGCCCCCTTCTTGTTCCTTCCCCTCTTTGCCTCCTTTTCTTCCCCTTCCCTCTCTCTCCGTTCCCCCGTCTCCTTCGCTCTTTTCTCCTCCCCCTCTTCTCTGTCGCTCTCCTTCTCTCGCTTGTCTCCTCTCTCTCGCTCTGTCGTCTCCTCTCGTTTCCTCCGCTCCCTCTCTCTATGCGTTTTCGCTTCCTCTCTCCGCTCTTCCTCCTCTCGTTCTCCTCTCGTTCCTTTCTTGCGCTTTTCCCTTCTGCTTCCCCTTCTCTGTCGCTCTCCTCACTCTGCTCTCCTTCCCCCTCTCTCGTCGCTCTCCCTATTCGCTCTCCTCTTTGCTCTTTCTCCTGTCCCCTTCTCTCTTCCCCTTCCCTCTCTCTGTCGCTTCCCACTCCGCTCTTTCCTTTCTCTGTCGCTCTCCCCTTTTTGCTCTTTTTTTCTGTCGCCTCTTCTCTCGCTCTCCTCTGTCTCCATCTCTCGCTCTCCTCTCTCTCCTTCCCCTCTCTGTCGCTCCCTCTCTCTCGCTCTCCTTCCTCTCGTCGCCTCCTTTTTGTCGTCTTGGTCTTCCCCCTTTTCTCTCGCTCTCTTTCTCGCTTCCTTTTCCTTTCCCTTTTCTTCGCTCTCCTCTCTCTCCGTTCTTTCGTTTTTTCCCCTCTCTCGCTTCCTCTCCTCTTTTTCCCCCTTTTCTCGCACTCCTCTCTCTCGCTCTCTGTCGTTCCCCTTTCGTCGCTCCCTCTCTCCTTCGTTCCTCTCTACGCTTCTTCTTCTCTGTGCTCTCCCATCCCTTTTCGTCTTGTTCCCCTTTCCCCTTTTTTTCTCTCGTCTCTTTTCTCCTTCCTTTTCTCTCCTTTCTCTCTCCGTCTCTTCTCGCTCTCTTCTTTCTCTCGCTTCTCTCCCTCTCTGGCTCTCCCTTTTTCTCGCTTCTCGTCGTCCCCCCTTCTCTGTCGCTCCCTTCTCTCTCTGTCGCTCCCTCTCACGTCTCCCCTCCTCGTCGTCTTATCTTGTCACTTGTCTCCTCGCTCTCCTCTCCTTTGCTCTTTTTCTCTCGCTCTCCTCTCTAATTCCCCCTCTCTCTCGCCTCTTCCCTCCTCTTTGCCCCCCTTTTCTCTCCTCTCGCCTTCCTCTCTTTTCTCTTCGCGGGTCCCTCTCTCTTCTCTCGCGCTCTCCTCTCTCTCGGCGCTCTCCTCTCTCTTGCGCTCTCCCCCTTTTTGTTGATCTCCTTCTCTGTGCTCTCCTCTTCGTCGCCTTTTCTCTCGCTCGTTTTCTCGCTCTGTCGCTCCTCTCTTCTCTCTCGCGCGCTTCCCCCTTTTCTTGTCGCTCTCCTCTCTCTCTCGTCTTCCTCTCTTCTCTGTCGTTCCTCTCTCTTTTCTGTCGCTTCTCCCCTTTCCCCTCTCCTTTTCACTCTCCCTCGCTCTCCCCGTTTCCCCTCGCTCCTACGTCTTCGCTCTCTCTCTCTGTCTCCCCTCTCTCGCTCTCCTCTCTCTTCTCTCCCCCCTCTCTCTCGCTTTTCTTCCCTCTCTTCTCTCTCCGCCTCTTGTCGCTCTCCTCCTCTCGCCGTCCTCTCCTCGCTCTGTCGCTTTCCCCCCGTCCCTCTCGCTTCCCCTTCTCGCCCCTCGTCACTCTCCTCTCTTTGCCTTCCCTCCTCGCTCTTCACCTCTCCCCCTTCCCTCGTTTTCTCTTTTCCTCTATCGCTCTCCTCCTCTGCTCTCCTCCTCTTTCGCTCTCCCCTCTCGCCCTTTCCCCTCTCTTCTCGTCTCCTCTCTCTTTCTCTCTCTTCCTTTCTCTCTGTTTTTCCTCCGTCTTCTCTTCGCTCCTTTTGTGCTCTCCCTCAGCTTCCTCTCCCCTCTCTGCGTTTCCCATCTCGTCGCTCTTTTTTCGCTTTTCTTCTCTCTCCTTTTCCTTCACTCTTTCTCTTTCGCTCTTTCCGCCCCTTTTTTTCTCTCGCCCCTCTCCCCTCTTTCTTTTGCTCCTTCCTCTTCGTCTTCCTCTCGCTCTCCTCTTTCGCTTCTCTGTCGCTCTCCTCCTTTCGCTTTTTTCCTTTTCTTTGTTCCCCCTTTTCGCCCCTCTCTCTTTTCCTCTCGCTCTCCCCTTTCCTTCTCGTCCCTCTCCTCTCCCTTTTCCCTTTTTCTTGCGCTCTCCTCTCCGCCTTTTATCCCTCCTCTCCGCTCTCCCCTCTCCGCTCTCCTCTCTCTGTCGCTCTCCTCTCTCGCTCTGTCTCCTCTCTCTCGCTCTGTCTCCTCTCTCTCGCTCTGTCTCCTCTCTCTCGCTCTGTCTCCTCTCTCTCGCTCTGTCTCCTCTCTCTCGCTCTGTCTCCTCTCTCTCGCTCTGTCTCCTCTCTCTCGCTCTGTCGCTCTCCTCTCGCTCTCCTCTCTCTCGCTCTCCTCTCTCTCGCTCTTCTCTCGCTCTCCTCTCTCACTCGCTCTCTTCTCTCTCTCTCACTCGCTCTCTTCTCGCTCGCTCGCTCGCTCTCTTCTCTCGCTCTCGCTCGCTCTCTTCTCTCGCTCTCGCTCTACTCTCTCTCGCTTTCCTCTGTCTCTCTGTCTCCTCTCTCTCGCTCTCCTCTCTCTTGCTCTCCTCTCTCCTCTCTTTCGCTCTCCTCTCTCACTCTCTCTCGCTCTGTCTCTTTCTCCCCCTCTCTTTTCTTTCTCTCCTCTGATGTTGTTACTTATTGTTGTCAGTCATGTTACTGTTTGGTTTGCTAAATGTTGTCTGTGTATCTCCAGCTGATGAGGACGTGTGCTGACCTGTTCCGCCTGCTGCCCTTCATGGTCTTCATCATTGTCCCCTTCATGGAGTTCCTGCTTCCGGTCTTCCTCAAGCTCTTCCCTGAGATGCTGCCCTCCACCTTCGAGACAGAGACCAAGAAGGCACGTTTTTCACACTGTTACAATGTTAATGACCCTGTTGATGGCTGCATATCAATGGTCTAAACTTGCTTCCTTGTCTCCTCTCATTCATCTGCACTGATCTGAAGTCATGATACCTTAGGTGAAAATGGCAGTTTTCCTGTTCTTCCATATCAATGCAGATGAAGGAAAGGAGACAAAACCACACTATTGAGATGCACCCCAGTAGGGGATATCCTTCCACAGACCTGTAGGCCAGTAGAATAAGCAGGGGTGTGTCTCAGTAATCTCTCCTTTCTTGTGCACTTGTTCACCTCCCTTCATAGATTTGGCAGTACATTACTGTTCTAAGAAACTCCTTAGCCCATGCCTACACCAATCCATTGTTTTTACATTTGTCGGGAATAATGAAAGAGTGCACACTTTATTGGGATATACCCCAGGTCTTTGTGTGGGATTAGCCCCAGTAGGCCTGACCTATCGGCTCCAATGGTCCCTGTCTGCTCTGGCTAGCTGTTGATCACTCATGGCTGAATGGCTCTCAGATATGTCCTCCTGTTCCTGTACAACAGTGGTGCCTGGCCTGGCCTCTCACATCATGGCCATTGGGATACCAACAGGAAGCAGTGGTAGAGACTACCATTAGCCAACTGGTGCACTTTGAAAGTGGAATTGTTTTCAAATAGACCCTCTTAAACATTACCTAGCAACTTGATAGAATGCGATTGAGGCTCCTTTTTAGAACATGCTCTGTTTCTAAAACCAATTGCTATTAGCTAATGCTAGCCTATGCATAAGGCTATGCCTATCCATTTGAGAAATAACGTATCTTTCTCCTATCCTTCTCTCCCTCTCTCTTTCCCCCCTTTCTTTCTCTTTAGGTGGAGAAGCAGAAAAAGGGTCTTGCTGCTAAGCTAGAGCTGGCTAAGTTCCTCCAAGAGACCATAGCAGAGATGGCTAAGAGGAACAAGACCAAGGCTTTGACCGAGGATGAGACGCAGCGCTTCTCCACCTATGTACAGAAGGTAATTTAGCCAGGGGGCAAAGGTCACGCATCCAAAGCACTGATTCATGATGTCATGAGTGTTTCAAGTTTTCATCCCGTTGTGTTCGGTAGCCCTGGTCAAAAGGTAAAACAGACCTGATAACGCTCAAGATGTGATTATGCATCCTAAGCCTGTCTGCATGACTAGAGTCCCAAGACTGCTCTAACTAACCCCTGTCCTCCCTGTGTCATCTCCAGGTGCGTCACACAGGGGAGCAGCCCACCACTAAGGACATCGTCAAGTTCTCCAAGCTGTTTGAAGACGAGTTGACGCTGGAGCATCTAGAGCGCCCCCAGCTGGTGGCCCTATGTAAGCTGCTAGAGCTGCAGCCCATAGGAACCAATAACCTGCTCCGCTTCCAGCTGATGATGCAGCTGAGAACCATCAAAGCAGACGATGAGGTGATCGCCACTGAGGGTGTGCCTGCTATGAGTGTGTCAGAGCTGCAGGCAGCATGTCGTAGCAGAGGGATGAGGTCACTGGGTCTGACCACTGACCAGCTACGCCAGCAGATGCAACAGGTCAGACACTCAATCTATCTATCTGCAGATCACCTTGTTAAAGATGCATCACTTCAAGCCACTAAAGGAGTTAATCTATTAATTGTATTATAAGGGTTGTGTCCCAAATGGCACCCTATTTCTTAGGGAATAGGGTGCCATTTTGGACGACAAACGATTGGCTTCTTCAGTGACCTGTAACCTCTCTCTGTTCCAGTGGTTGGACCTGCACTTGAAGGAGAACGTTCCTCCCTCTCTGCTGCTGCTCTCCAGAGCCATGTACCTGACCGACGTCAAACCCATCATACCCGTCATACCCCCTGTACCCAAACTAGAGGTAAGACATCATACCCCCTGTACCCAAACTAGAGGTAAGACATCATATTGCCTGTACCCAATTAGAGGTAAGACACCCCAACCAGCTCAGTTCAGATTGGTGAAAGGTAATCTGATTCTAGGTTTGGGATCAAGGTACATTTATGCCTCCAGTGAGTCCCACAGAAGCATAGGTTTCCCCGAGAACTAAGGCTTGACCATCAGACCATGGAGACCTCTTGATTGTAGTGATGTAGAAATGCAGGTCAGCCATGTGAAGTACTGTATGTTCCTGCTGCCAACTCTCTAAGGCTGAGTTTACACAGCCAGCCCAATTGTGATATTTTTTCAAATAATTGGTCTTTTGAACAATCACATCAGCTCTTTCACATCAGATATTTTTCAAAACTGATCTGATTGGTCAAAAGACTGTGTAAATGCAGCCTATGAGTCTCTAACAGTCTCAGGACACTCTGTGGAAGGTTACATAACTGGTTTTATCATTCCATTTGTGTGTGTGTTTTTGTTTTCAGAACAGTGTGAGATCATGAGAGAAATGTGTAAGTATGTATAATGGTAGTGTAACATCGAGTTGTGTTGTGTGTTGCAGAAGGCCACTCCTCCCCCATCTGAGATCCCAGAGGGAACAACAGCTTCCTCCTCAGACTTACTGGTGGACCCAGCTCTGGTCATCAAAGACAGGCTGGTCAGTACACAGACACACACACACACAACAGGGTTTCCGTTATGAAAATGTGGCAGCAGCATTTGACCGGCAGCATTTTAATTTACCTGACATTGGAGAAATGTTACCTGACCCATATGCATTGGATGCGTAACCTGATTAGGGCGTCCACCCACAGTGCTCAGAATGAGAATTCCCATTTAGATTATGGTAATTCATCTTAACAAAACAACATGCATGTGGAGGACGCAACGATGTGCGGTTTCTTCTTACCGAATTCCGATGTCCACATTTACTTTTCCCCAGCCAACAAGATGAGTAACGAACAGCAAAATCACTAGCCTATGTCAATCTACTATCCCCCATAGTAGAAAACGTTACCTATTCTATTGGTCAGCTTGTCGAGAAATAAATAGCCTATTCCAAACAGACACTGGGACAGTTGTGGGATGATAGATCCCAAATTCATACAACCAGTAGGCCTAAGCTACATAAAAATAAAAATAAACGTTAAAAAGCAATGAGTTTGCAATGCGCACAAGGCAATTAGTGGGAAAACACTGTTGTCAAAAGCGAGCAGTTTCATGTGACAGAGATGGAAATATCTGTTCAAAATATTTTAAGAGGGGAGATCTAATATGCAACAACTAGCATGGGTTGCTAATAATATATTATGACTAGGATTGTGCCTTTGGCTACTGGACAATTAAATAAAGTTTATATAAAATGATTGCCTCTGGATATGGTTTGATTTTGGCTAGGCTACACACTAAAGGGTATAAAACATGATAACTTTACAGTGCCTTGCAAAAGTATTCATCCCCCTTGGCGTTTTTCCTATTTTGTTGCATTACAACCTGTAATTTAAATTGATTTTTATTTGGATTTCATGTAATGGACATATACAAAATAGTCAAAATTGGTGAAGTGAAATTAAAAAATTTTTTTTTCATTTTTCAGAATATTCGAACAAATAAATAACGGAAAAGTGGTGCGTGCATATGTATTCACCCCCTTTGCTATGAAGCCCCTAAATAAGATCTGGTGCAACCAATTACCTTCAGAAGTCACATAATTAGTTAAATAAAGTCCACCTGTGTGCAATCTAAGTGTCACATGATCTGTCACATGATCTCAGTATATATATACACCTGTTCTGAAAGGCCCCAGAGTCTGCAACACCACTAAGCAAGGGGCACCACCAAGCAAGCGGCATCATGAAGACCAAGGAGCTCTCCAAACAGGTCAGAGACAAAGTTGTGGAGAAATACAGATCAGGGTTGGGTTATAAAAAAATATCAGAAACTTTGAACATCCCACGGAGCACCATTTAAATCCATTATTAAAAAATGGAAATAGTATGTCACCACAACAAACCTGCCAAGAGAGGGCCACCCACCAAAATTCACGGACCACAAAATAAGCAAACACGTTTGGTGTTCGCCAAAAGCCATGTGGGAGACTCCCCAAACATTTGGAAGAAGGTACTCTGGTCAGATGAGACTAAAATGGAGCTTTTTGGCCATCAAGGAAAACACTATGTCTGGCTCAAACCCAACACCTCTCATCACCCCGAGAACACCATCCCCACAGTGAAGCATGGTGGTGGCAGCATCATGCTGTGGGGATGTTTTTCATCGGCAGGGACTGGGAAACTGGTCAGAACTGAAGGAATGATGGATGGCACTAAATACAGGGAAATTCTTGAGGGAAACCTTTCAGTCTTCCAGAGACTGGGATGGAGGTTCACCTTCCAGCAGGACAATGACCCTAAGCATACTGCTAAAGCAACACTCGAGTGGTTTAAGGGGAAACATTTAAATGTCTTGGAATGGCTTAGTCAAAGCCCAGACCTCAATCCAATTCAGAATCTGTGGTATGACTTAAAGATTGCTGTACACCAGCGGAACCCATCCAACTTGAAGGAGCTGGAGCAGTTTTGCCTTGAAGAATGGGCAAAAATCCCAGTGGCTAGATGTGCCAAGCTTATAGAGACATACCCCAAGAGACTTGCAGCTGTAATTGCTGCAAAAGGTGGCTCTACAAAGTATTGACTTTGGAGGGGTGAATAGTTATGCACGCTCAAGTTGTCTGTTCTTTTGTCTTATTTCTTGTTTGTATCTTCAAGGTGGTAGGCATGTTGTGTAAATCAAATGATACAAACTCAGTTTGTAAGGCAACAACATAGGAAAAATGCCAAGGGGGGTGAATACTTTCGCAAGCCACTGTATTTTTTATGGTAGGGAAATGGAACCTCCGAATGCAACACATGATTGGATCATCACTCACATTCCATCAAAACACAAAGTGCTTTCATTGGATAACAAAAGCCAAAGATGGAAGGCAATATTTCCACCAATCATGAGCCCCAATCATGAGCTCGGTAGCTCTGGTCAAAGACAGACCAGTCAGGAATCAATCAATCAAATGTATTTATAAAGCCCTTTTTACATCAGCAGATGTCACAAAGTGCTATACAGAAACCCAGCCTAAAACCCCAAACAGCAAGCAATGGAGATGTAGAAGCACGGTGGCTAGAAAAAACTCCCTAGAAAGGCAGAAACCTAGAGAGGAACCAGGCTCTGAAGGGTGGCCAGTCCCCTTCTGGCTGTGCCGGGTGGAGATTATAACAGTACATGGCCATTAAGGCCAGATTTTTCTCCAAGATGTTCAAACGTTCATAGATGACCAGCAGGGTCAAATAATAATCACAGTGGTTGTAGAGGTTGCAACAGGTCAGTACATCAGGAGTAAATGTCACTTGGCTTTTCATAGCCGGGCATTTAGAGGTTGAAATAGGTGTGGTAGAGGGAGAGAGTTGAAAACAGCAGGTCTGGGACAAGATAGCACGTCCGGTGAACAGGTCAGGGTTCCATAGCCGCAGGCAGAAGAGTTGAAACTGGAGCAGCAGCACGACCAGGTGGACTGGGGACAGCAAGGAGTCATCAGGCCAGGTAGTCCTGAGGCATGGTCCTAGGGCTCAGGTCCTCCGGGAGGGGAGGGAGAGAGAGAGAATTAGAGGGAGCATACTTAAATTCACACAGGACACCGGATAAGACAGGAGAATAACACCAGATATAACAGACTGACCCTAGCCCCCCGGCACATAGACTATTGCAGCATAGATACTGGAGGCTGAGACAGGAATCTTCTCCAGAATGACCCTTGGAGCAGTATACAGTGTCCTCATGTCTGGTGTGTTTCTGTTCCTCCAGGCGGAGGAGGTGAGAGACAAGGCTGCCATCGTCTCAGACAAACCTCCTACCCCTGCCCAGGTTATCCAGGTCAGTCACCTTTGACCCCCAGTCATGTACCCACAGGGATTAGTTACTAGATGGAACGGCAGAAAGTGCAGTGCTTTTCTAGCATGGCCAGATAGTGATGACTGTGAGGATAAATCAGTGTGTGTTTGTTTACAAGTTTATGGCTGTAATCCCATTAAGCCCAATACTGTCTCATCTTTCTCACGACATCCTAATCTCACACACACACACTTGCTCTACGGGAAGAAACAGATTGGAGAGATAATAGGAATCATTCAAATAGTTGGCACCTGGACACAAATTAACCATACAACAATTAACCATTTAGTAGTTAAATTACAGTATGCCCATAACAACATGTTCCTAAAATATCAAGTAAATAAACACCATGCACTGCTGTATGTAAATAAGCTATTTAAAAGTAAGTTTATTAAATTTGTTAAAGTCCATGTCACCATAATTCAATGAATGCCTTCGGTCTCTTTTCCATCGTTTGTTCCTAGAATAATCATTGTCCTCTGACCTCTAGGCTAAAGGAGCAGATGCGTCCCAGAAGAGCAAGATGAGCGCCAATGGAGTGTGAGCAGGAGGTAACAGTGAGCAGGACTGTAGGGGCTTGACCACACCCCAACCCTGTGTCCTCATGGGTGGGGGGCCTAGACAATCAAGCTAATCTACAACCTAAGGGATCAGTCAACCCAACCACCCGTCTGCCCTCCTTAACGCCGCCTCCTCCTGAGTCTAAGATCCCTGTATAGCCAATGGGCTCGGTGTCTGATGGAGAGAGGGGTCATTTACTCATCATAAGATCATCACATGAGATGATAATGTCGTCAGATCAGACGACGTTTGACTAAAATGACACTTTGCTCTCTTTAATTCTGTCCATGGATCAGTCCCCTCTCATCTCTGGCTACACCTGGAGTGAGGCCGCTGACAGGCGTTTCAAACGGGACATGGACCTCTGCTCTGTCTGTTCATAAGTCTCTGGTTCTTCTCACCTTCATCTATTTGGTTTCAAGTTCATGCACTCCATCCATTGTGTTTCACACTCAAACTCAGCAGGACAATGTAATGTAACGAAAACTCTGAAAAGTCCCTGGATTGGGACCGTTTTGTTTTGGGGATCACAGTAACCCAGTGATGTAACAAATATTATTATAATTTTTATGTAGACACCGGCTGGTTGGTTGGTCTGGTGTAACTTTAGTCTGTTTCACTTCAGGTTGTATTTAGACTCAGATTCATTAGGCGTTGAAGCTGATTCCTCTTGACTAGATATACCTCAAAGACGAAAGCAGTGGGTGGCCGCGGTGTTAAAGGCGTCTGCATGCTTCCCAGCCGAAACAGTTCGGTAGAGTTCGTGCATACACTACCGTTCAAAAGTTTGGGGTCACTTAGAAATGTCCTTGTTTTCCATGGAAACACACATGAAACGAGTTTGAATAGGAAATATAACAAAATGCATAGGAAATGTAGTCATTGACAAGGTTAGAAATAATGATTTTTAATTAAAATAATAATTGTGTCCTTCAAACTTTGCTTTCGTCAAAGAATCCTCCATTTGCAGCAATTACAGCCTTGCAGACCTTTGGCATTCTAGTTGTCAATTTGTTAAGGTAATCTGAAGAGATTTCACCCCATGCTTCCTGAAGCACCTGCCACAAGTTGGATTGGCTTGATGGGCACTTCTTACGTACCATACGGTCAAGCTGCTCCCACAAC